AAGCTATCAGTGCCACCTTGTGGAAAGACCTATATTAAAATGTCTAAGGTAATCTGGCCACACCTCAGACCATTTCAGAGCATCTACACCCAAGGTTGACATACATCCAATAGATACCAGTATAGCTTTACTGTTTGTTTATAGGCAATGGTTTGGTTGATAGAGGATCCATTCTGATTGGTTGCTTCCTATGCCCTGGCCAGCTGTTAAATAATTTGTATGTCATCTCTAAGTATACCACATAAAACCCCCATATTCCCAACATCGTACACATGTAAAACCCACTTCCAGACTATTCTGGTTGTTTCCTCTACACAGCATGGTTCTCCAAATGTAGAAACAATTCATTAATTTATCACAATACTCCACCCCCAACAAACACAAATACATACACACTTAACTACAATTGCTTATAACTTTTTCTTTTAAAATTAACCTTGTTTTGGTTTTATTCTACTTCTTGAGTTAATTGGCAAGTATTCCTTTTCTTTTGTGAATATTCTCATTTGTTTTAGTTACCTATTACTGCATAACAAATGACCCCAACATTCAATGGCTAAAAACAATAAATACTTATTATCTCACAGTTTCTGTGAGTAAGGAATTCAGGAGCTGCTTGGCTGGATGGTTCTGGCTCAGGGAATCCCATGAGATTATAGTCAAGATGTTGGGTGGGGTTGCAGTCATCTAAAGGCTTGACAGGGCTAGAGGATCCACTTCTAAGATAGCGACCTCACTTACAATTACTGTTGGTATGAGGCCTCAGCTCCTCACCACACAGATCTTTCCATAAGGCTGCATGAGTATCCTCACAACATGGCAGCTGACTTCTCCCAAGAGGCAGCAAGGCAGAAACCACAATGTTTTTTTTTTATGACTAGCCTAAGAAGTCAGTCACATACCATCATTTTCACAATATCCTACTAGATACAAAATTCAGCCTATTAATGTGGGAGAGAACTACGTAAGGCATGAGGTGGCTCATTGGGGGCCACCTTAGAGGCTGGCTACCACACCATCCCTTCATCTTCGATCCAATCTCCAGATTACCAGGTCCCAAAGTTTGCTCCAGGTATGAAATGGACTTAAACATAGGAAAATTAGATCATTTAGCACTCCAAAAACTCTGACTGCCATCCAAGGACCACAGGAACTCTAACCCGAACCCAAGCAATCGCTTGCCTTTGTGGGACACAGAGACCTCTCTGGAGGAAGGGATTCTCTAACTCTGCCTTCACCTCTAACTGCCACTGGCCTGAAGTCAGTCCGTCAGGGAACTGGGGCCTCAGCATTAAAGAGAATTAGGTCAAAACATTCTAATCATCTGGGCGAGGGGGGTCTAGGATGCCCTAAAACCGTTCTGTCAAGCTTTTCAATGAAAGTTACTTCAAGTGTTTTGCAATGGACAGAGAACAAAATGGAAAGGAAGATCTCTGTCTTCAGAAGACTTCCTAGTGGCTCCAACCTAAGCTTATCTTTCCCCCACTGACTTCTTTTGCGCTTATTTTTACTGCATAATTAGCTTTTTAATCTATATTATCTGATCATCTTTGAAAAGCAATTTAGTACTTTATTACATGTTATGAAAACAATTACAGCTGAGTTGAAATTCCTCCAGGTATGTTGTAAATTCCTTGAAGTCAGGGAAATTACTTGGCTTAGCACTCAGCACACCATTGGCATCAACAAATTGTTCTGCAGAACAATGCTCTCTATCGTACCCATGCATACCATAGGCGCAGTGCACTATAAAGAGCAAGGCTTCTTTATCCCTTTTTACAACTAGCTAGTCTTAACCAGGATCATAATGACACAGTCATTCTTTCCTTAAACATAGACATGTTTAAAAGTATACATCAGAGAGGTGCTCACACCACATTCAGTTCAGTCCTCAACCTCATGCCATTAAAAATAAATACAAACGCGCATTGTCACAGTCCTAGAGACTCAAGACACTTCCAAAACAGTACACCCCGTCTTGCCTATGCATTCTACTTATTTTTTTTAATTCATTTGTTCATGTAACATTTTTGAGCACCGTGTATCCAGCCCCATAGTGTTGTTACTGTGTGCCGTTGAGTCGATTCCAACTCATAGTGACCCTATATGACAGAGTAAGGCTGCCCCATAGGGTTTCCTAGGTTATAATCCGTGCGGAAGCTGATCGCCAAGTCTTTTCTCCCGTGCAGTCACTGGGTGGGTTCAAAACACCGATCTTTTGATTAGCAGCTGAGCGCTTAACCACTGCGCCACCAGGGCTCCTAGTCCCATATTAGATGCATGCAATTCAAAGATAGAAAGACGCAGCCTTGACTCCTAGGCAAACAGGTAAGCCAAATGCAATGTACTAACTGCCACACTGCAAGTACATATTTATACAACCTGAGATGGGGTACAGAAAGAGCCTAAACCTTCCCGAGGGTCAAGAGGAGAAGGGAAAAGAGGGTCAGTATGGGGGTAAGTGGGGGGCTGACATGATTAGGATGCAGGAGTCCTAGTTCAGGAAACCACCAGAGAGAGGTTTTTCCGCACAATGTGAGACTCCCTGGGCCCAAAACAGGAAATTTAAATAGCATCCTTGACAACGAAACACAATCCAGGTCAGGGCCCTGGGCCCGCTCCACCATGAGGCTGTTGGAAGGGAGGGACAGAGATGAGAAAAGGAAGGAATTCCTATACAGGGAACCAACTGACCTTCCCAGAAGGAGGCTAACTGGGGGAACTCAGGCTGTAGATGGATTTGCTTCCACCCTTACAGACACCACACATGACAGGGGAGCACCACTGCGGGGTGGGAGGGGGGTGCTGGGGAGGAGACACTGGGGAGCAGTTTGCCTGAGAGAAGTGGGGGAGCAAGGGGTTGACTGGTGGCTGGGGGGGCCACAGCAGGGAAGGAAGGAAGGCTAAAAATGGGAAGACTGACTGGGGTTTATATGGGAAATGGGAGTGGAAACAGGAAGGGGTTAGTTAGGCTGTGACTGTCGGAAGGGGAGGAGGGTATATTTGGCAGCTCCCGGAAGCTGAGGTGAGTAGATGGAGACAATGCTTCAGACTCCCAGGGCTGGGCAAAGAGTAGGTACATTTTCCACAAAGTCAGCTTTCAGTGGCATGAAGCCAGAGGTATAAATGGTCCGATGTGTGTACTGGGGAGTAGGGAGAGTGGGGAGCAGAGGAAGGGAAGTTCATCTTCCTGGCAAAATGGCCTGGGCTTGGAATTAGACAAACTTTGGTTCTACCAGCCCAGCTACTTTCTAGCTGTGTGTGCTTGGCCAACACCTGGTCCTGTGCCATCCCCATGCTCATTGTGATCCACAGGGTTTTCACTGGCTGAATGTCAGAAGGAGATTTCTAGGCCTTCCTTCTTAGTCCATCTTAGTCTAGAAGGTCCACTAAAACCTGTTCAGCATCATAGCAACACACAAGCCTTCACTGACAAAATGGTGATGGCTGCGTATGAGGTACGTTGGCCAGGAACTGGAGACTTACGCAGGGAAGGTGAGAACTCTACCACAGAACTGCCAGTGTCCCCAACAAGCTTCAGACTGCTCACCTACAAAAGGGACAAAAATATCTTCCACACGGAGTTCTTTAAGAAAGCAGTTAACACAGGGCCTGATCCCGAAACAAATTCAACAAGGGTTAACTATTTTCATCATTATAATTACTCCGCATCACTAAATGCAACATTATTCATAGTGAGGATATGGACTCCGAGACACTGTTCAGATCCAGGTCCCCTCCTTTTACGAATGATATTGACCAATTCCAGTCGGCCCAGTTGGAAGATGACCCAGAGAGACTAAAAATCATGAAATATGAAGAAAACTTATGAAAACTGAAGGTGTTTAGCCCAGATGAAACTTGGGGACTGGAGGATGGTTAAACGAAGAGGAAGGAACCTTCTGTTTAACTTTAGGAAACTGTACTGGGCTGTCGTGAAAGGTTCCGGAGGCGGGTTGGTTGGTTTCAAATCCTCCCACCACCTCTTCGTCAAGTTTCTTAACTGTTTTCCTAGCCTCAGTGTTCTCATCTGTAAAATGGAGTTAATTAGATTACCTACCTCTTAACGTTATTGAGGCATGGAAATGAGTTAACACATGTAAAATCCTTAGAAGAGTGTCTAGCATATAGTAAATGCTCAGTAAACGTTAATTCTTGTGTTGATACTATAATTTCTATTACTAGCATTGTTACCCCGGGTAAGATTTTAGGGTGCCAGATGGCAGCCCAGTATTTTCTAATGATCCCGTAACCCAAAAAACCAAAAACCCGCCGCCGTCGAGTCAATTCCGACGCATAGCGCGACCCTACAGGATAGGGTAGAATCGCCCTGTAAAGTTTCCAAGGAGCGCCTGGAGAATTTGAACTGCCGACCTTTTGGTTAGCAGCGGTAGGTCTTAACCACTAGGCAACCAAGGTTTCTGTAATGATCTCAGCAGTGGAAAAATGGGAATGGCTGCCTGTGCAGTGTGATTCCCCTTTACTGGAAGAGTTCAAAAAGTAACTGATAGTAACTAGTCAGAGTCATTGTAGAGGAGATTCCCCCCCCCCAAGGTGGAATTACATTTCGTCATCTCTTATGCCCTTGGGCATCCACCGTGAAGAAAGGCCAAGCCCTTGGGGAGGCAGGGGCAGTTGCCAAAGACGCATTAACTCTAACCGACCGCCAGGGAGCAGCGGAGTCCAACCCAGGGTTGCTTCATCCACAGAAAACCATTCTTATTTGTTCTGAGTTTTCCTTCCTGGCTGTTTGAGTTGCTCCACCAATCTCTGTGCTCACCGCTGCAGTAATCCCGGCTATTACTAAGTATCCAGCCAATCATCTCGGTGCTTTTGTCGGACATTTAGAGCCTTCAGTGCGCAGTTCTAGCCCCGCCCCCAAGGCCGCTCGGCCAATCCCCCGCGGCGGAGCTAGTGGGTGGTGTCGCGGGGACCACGTGGCCCAGGAGAGGCAGGGGCCAGGTAGGTGGAGGGTAACCCGGCCTCCGGCGCAAGAGAGGAAGAGTGGGCGGAGCGGAACTCGGCTGGCACCGCCCCGCTGACCCGCTGTCCCCTTCCCTCCCTCAGCGATGGGCGTGGAGCCCCCCAACTTCTCGTGGGTGCTCCCAGGCCGGCTGGCTGGGCTGGCGCTGCCGCGGCTCCCTGCCCACTACCAGTTCCTGTGGGACGGGGGCGTGCGGCACTTGGTGTCCCTGACGCAGCGCGGGCCCCCCTACAGCGACACCTGCCCCGACCTCACCCTGCACCGACTGCGCATTCCTGACTTCTGCCCGCCGGCCCCCGACCAGATCGACCGCTTCGTAAAGCTGGTGGACGAGGCCAACGCCCGGGGAGAGGTCAGCGGGCGGGGTGAGCGCAGGGAGGGAGGGACCCGGAAGGGCTCAGCCGGGACACGGACGGAGCTTGGGAGGTGTGGGCCGGCAGGCTTAGCTGGGCTTGGGGAGAGAGATTGGGGAAAGACTGTAGGGGCAGGGGACTGCAGGTGCATAACAAGGACCTAAGCCGATGTGGGTGGGGGGGTTGTAAATGGGAGGAGTCAAAGAGAGGGTGAAGCTGTGTGGATTGGGCTGGAGGAAAGGCAAATAGCTGAGGAGAAGCTGGGGGGAATCAGCTAATGTGAGTTGAGAAAGAGAAAGCGATGGGCAGACGCGGAAGAAAAGGGAGTTGAAGTCAGAGAGGCTGTTTAGCAGACTGTAGAGGGACACTGTCCAATCAACTGTAATGGAGCCACATATGTCATTTTTCATTTTCTAGTCAGCACAATTGATAAAAACTAAAAAGAAGCAAGTAAAATTAGTTTTGATAATATCAATTATTTAATCCCGTAAGCCAAGAATGTTATTTCAAATTATAATCGATATAAAATAAATTCTTAATGAAAAGTTTTTATTCTTTTTTGTACTATATTTTCAAAATCAGGTGTGCATTTTATACATCTCAGTTTGGACTAGCCACATTTCAAGTACTCAGTAGCCACATATGGCTAAAAAAAAAA